AAAAAAAAAAAAAAACACCTGACACACAGATCACCGCCGTCGGTGTCTGCCTCGTCCCGCTCTGGAGCCTCGCCCGCGGCGCTGTACAAGTACCCCGCGGTGCGCAAACGGCAGCGCCAGCAGCAGCGGCACCTCGCCCGCGCTGCCGCTGCCACCGCGGCCGTGGCGGCAGGCGGCGATAGCGGTGATAATCACAACAGTATCGGCAATGGCGTTGGCAATGACAACAGTGCCGGGCGCGCTCCGCACTCGTCCGACGCGTCGTCGTCTTCCACGAGCAGCAGCGCAGAGCAGCACGAGATGCAGCCGCTCGCGAGGCACCGCCGCCACTACCACCCCGCGCGCCGCCCCGTGCCTGACGACCGGCACGCGCTGCGGGTACGGCCCTCAGGGCCACGCGTTGCCCCGGTGGCGACGATGGCGTCTGGGCTTGCTGGTAGAGACATAATGTGAATTTTATTTTTATTAGTAATTTTGGGTTTTAGGATACGCTAGTTGTACTCTAATGCACGCCATGGTTCCGGTGTACGCTTTCCCAGCACTCTGTAGCAGAATTTGTTATACCACATGTCCACCCACCTGATGTAGAACGAAGTAGAACGGAATGAACATCCAGTGGCACACGTTTTGCGCCTGGCTCACGCGTACCGGGCGTATTTGCCCCTCTGGTGTGCGACACAGCGTCTGCGCGTGCTCGCCACCGACCGAGACGAGCCCGCGCACCGCGGCGCACGCCTCCTCTAGCCTGTCCGTGGCGAACGCGACGGAGGGCGTGGCGGAAGAACGACAGGATCTCGACCGCGGGCTGCGCACAGACGTGTCAGCACCATTTCACATCACCCAGACTTGTGGGCTCGTCTCGCGTGCAGTTAGACGTGTCTGCCTATGTATCAGTGTGTGTATGGCTAGAAATAGGATGGCTCGGAGGAAGCCGGGAATGTGCCGCCGGTGGATGCGCGGCCTGCATGGCTGTGTCACTGGGTAGCATGCTTGTGCAAAATCATCGTCGGAAAGGAGCCCGGGTTTCTCTGCTTTTCACCTGAGAAACATTGGAGACAATACTTCACGTTTTACTAGTCAAAATACAGCCTTCGCTGTATGATTCATATACGAGCTGTACCAGTACTAGGCAGCCTAGGCCACAGGTCATTAGCGATACAAGCAGTGCTTAATAAACATTGGCCCTTCTAATTACATGCGAGATTTACAATCATGTAAGCAATGTCAAATAAATATCAGTCCTACATCCTTTCTGCAACATTACACAAAGGTGAGATTGATGGTATCGGATGAGACCATGACTGTAGTAAGAACAGTGTTGTTCTGCTCCATGTTCAAAATCGTCGCCCCAGTGGTATCCAGGGGTCCGCTGGAGCTCGCGGCAGACACATTGGTGAAGTTGATCGTGCCAAAGTCGGCCAATGGCAGTAGGGACCCGTCTGCTGCGATGTCCTCGATGATCCAGTCTGCCTCCTGCATGTTCAGAGTGCCGGTAACCACAGTCTCCATGACGGTCTGGTTCGTGCTCTCGTTTGTAATGACCACCGTGACCGACGTTGCGCTTGTTGCAGTGAGGCTTATCGCGATGTTGTTGCCTGTCGTGAGGTTGTCGACCGGGACAGCAATGGAGATGTTAGGGAAAGCCGTGATGAACACTGGGAGAATATAGATGGCTTGTCAGCATGCAACGGGAAGGGCAAGGAGCACGGACTGACCACCATAGGATGCTTCACCATTATCGATGATGGCCTCGATACCAGCCGCGACACCACCACTCGAGCAGTACAGCACATCAAGGCCAATCATGGTGTTCACACCGAGGAAGTTAGCCTCACTCCCGTTCCCGAACATGCTAAGTGGCAAAATTGTGAAGGACGCGGAGACGTTGGTGACCTGTGGGGAAGTCAAGGCTGTCAGCGCACGGATCGCACAGAGACATAAGAGGAGACTCACCCCAGTTGCATTTAAGATGGCACCAGCCACGTTTGGGGAGAAGCTGAGTTGAGAGCTGTTGTCTACCTGGCAGGTCGACACGTGCAACCCGCCAGCACAACGAACCAAGGGGCCGCTCACAAGTCCCTGAAATCCGGGGTAAATTGTGGGGGACAGCATTGACACAACAGTTGTGGCAGCCAGAGCCAAGACAAAGGATGAGATGATGAAGTGCATGGCCGTGTGAGCAACGTGGAGTCCAAAGAACTGTGATGTTGTCGAGTGAAGAAAGGTGAGGAATGTGTGGTTTGGTTACAGTGGTCAGGCAAGCTTATATACATTGCAGGCCTGTCCAGCAAGCATCTGCACACCATGTCAGTAATTCTGCGGTGCACCATGATGCACAGAGCTTGGCGAGGCGGGGCGTGCCTCATCACACTGGCGGCCATTGCGACTGAAAATGTCGCATATCAGGGTCTGCAAAGCTTGGCTTCAGACTGAATTTGATGGCAACTCAGATGTCAGACATTGGAGGACAGCCAGGAGGAGTGCGGTTTCGAGTGCTGAAGTGATGTTTCAGACAGGCACTAGGCCTTGAGATTGAC